AAATAAACAGGCAGTTATAAAACAGTGGTAATGTCCATCATAATTATGAACAATATATAGCACTAAATAATTACAGCATTTCACTGAGCCTAAAACAAACTTTTTCACAGCTTAACCTTTCCGAAATAAGGATGTACCTTACATTTTATAGTTGCCAGTTTTATTAGAAGGGTCTTCCTAATGGTACATAAAATAATGGTGCATCTTCAGTCGATGGCATCTTAGAGTTTGTGAAACTTGATATATTCTAAACTATTAAGTATCACAGGAGTTCAGGGATATGGAGATCTCTAAGCATTCCAAGAGTCAAAAAGGGCTTCAAGGGTAAGGTGAGACCCGAGCCAGGTGGAAGACAGAGTAGCATTTTTAAGAGAAGAACAACAACAGGAGCAAGTGGAGGTGAGACATCCAAAAGAAAGGAGAACCTGTAATTGAGAGGCACGGGCCTGGGTGGGACAGAGAAGGGGGATATGAGGAAGCAAGAGAGCTGAGTGGCTAATAACTTGAAATCAGATTATAAAAGGCCTAGAAAATTAAGCAGATGATGCAATTAAAAGTAAGGAGCAATGAAAGACTTCTGAGCAGAAGAATGAAAGGTTAAGTCCAAAGTTGGTATGTGGATTGGACTTAGCAACAGGGAGATCGATACCTATGTATCTACATCTATATCTATATCTATATCTATATCTATATCTATATCTATATCTATATCTATATCTATACATATCTATCTATACATATATGTGTGTGTTTGTGTTTGTTGTTGTTGTTGTTGTTTTTTCAATTTTTGGTCATCACTGCTTGAGCTTGAAGGAAGGAGATGCACTGACTTGAGATTCAGAAGCTATGAGCTCCTGGCAGAGCCATGGCAAATACGAGAACTATATACACACAAGCGTGTGACAAATATGAGAACTACATACACATGAGCCAACGCCCTAGTGCTCCCCCAGACCCCGGGGAAGAGCACGCCCACTGGCTATTATTGCTCTCCAGCTGCCAAACCTGAATGACTCCTGTGGCCCCAGAGCCAGCCACACCAGCGCTGGGCTGCTGACCATCGCCCCCTCTCCACTTGGGCCTCAGGGAGAGCCCTAGCTGCTCAAACACTTGTCTTCTTTTTGAAGAAGCCTCAAAGTCCTCCCAAAGTCATCATTTAATCCTCGCCACATCCAGGTGAAGTAGCTGTTACCAACTCCATTTTACAAGTAAGGAGACTAGGGCTCAGAGGTGAGGCAATTTGCCCAAGGTAGCAGAGCTGGAATTCACACCCTCCTCTGTCTCCTCTCAAGGTTTGCTCTTTGAACCCATCTTCTCTATGAGTCTCGGCCCTAACCCGACTGCCAGATCAATGGTTCAGACCCCCACTTAAAGAGTCTGGAATTAGTACTAATATAGGTTGGGTTTAGTGTGCACCCACGTGCCCACCAAATTACAGCCTTGCCCCTAACCCTTTGTCAGGAACATGCTTGCCTTTCCGTAAGACTCGAACTTTCCTTAACTCCTTGCTTTGCACTTTAGTTACTCTGCCACGCAGAGACCCAACCCTGAATCCCTGACCCTTTGACCTTCTCCCGCCAGTCTCTTCCTCCCAATCATGGTCCTGATCCGAACCAGATAAATTCTGTACCCCAACCTTGTTGCCTGCTTGGTTTTGAGCACCACCCCTGTCTGAAAATTCCTGCTGCTATGCCCCAATCCCTGAGATCCGATTTGCCAGCTAGGTCAGTCTAAGGCTCCCACTTAGAAACTAGAGCTAGGCTCAGATTGAGGTAGAGCTGGCCCATGGCTTAGGATGTGGAGGTAAGTAGAAATCTGAGGAGAGAAAGTAGCAAGCATCCAACCCAACCCCAGCCTCCTCCCTCCCTGCACCCACATTCATTCATTTACTTATTCAATTAACAAACATTTGAGCCACCACTAGGATATGAGCTTCACATAGGCAGAAATGTTGTCTACCTTTTTCATCATTTTAAGACCTACAATACAGAACAATTTCTGGCACATAGTAAGCACTAGCTATATATTAGTTGAATGAATGAAAAACTGATGAGTGATCAGAAAATATTTAGTGTCCTAGAGTATCTTCCAAGTTGTGGCAGTAACCTTTAATAGAGTGCCAAACACGTTATCTGCTTGTGTTCACCAACAATAAAATAGGCTTTCATCTGTCAGCATGTAAAGTTTGTAATCAGACATATCCTATGCTAAGATCATTTAAAATTTTCTAAGATAAGAAATAGCATGTAGACTTAAGAGAAGGTAAAAATAAAGCTAAGTCATGTTTTAGACCATTAAGTAATTTATTTTTCCCTTTTATTAAATTTCCAAACTAATCTTTGGTCAATACTATCAATGCTACTAAGCATTTGCCACTGGTTTCAAAAGAGTTTGCAACAAAGAATGCCTGATGATTGCCAAAAATTACAGTCACCATTGGAGGTAAAAAAGCTATGGCATTTGATCACAAAATTTCTAGACCCAAAAGGAAAATATTGATGCAAAGCTTTGAAATTTTACTTTGGCATACTTCTTAGGGCACTAGACCAAAGAACACTCAAAGGTTTTCAAGATGATGCATGTAAACGCTACATGCCGACTACAGGATGCTGTGGTTAGTCCGGCTGAAGCTCCGTCTGCCATCTGCATGCTCAGAGTAAACAAAAAGCAACTCTGGGACTTGCACAGAAACCATGGCAAACCCTGAGGGGGGACTCGAACTTTGAATTAAAGGAAACGGCAAGTTACCACACCGCTGACAATGAACATGTTTACATTTTGTCCAATTGCGGGCGAGGGCAGAAGGAGTTTTGGGGACTTACAGAGCTGCTGCGGGAGGTGTGGTTAAAGTGGCCACACGGTGTCGAGGGGAAGAGGACCCGGGAATATGGATCGAGGACCCAGCTACACGCAGTCAGAGGGTCAGAAGGCCCCTGACTAACTTGGGCTTGGGTTGGGTAGGAGTTGCCATCCTCTGGGTATGTGGGCAGAGGGGAGAACACTCAAACAAGTAACAGATGTCACTTAAAATGATATAGGGCCGACAGAAGATTGCCTGAAGTCCAGTTTATGATTATCGAAAGTGTCAGTCTGAGCACGGGGAATGGTTTACAAAATTCTGTTAAAGATTTTTCACTGAAAGTCATAGTGTCTTGGGGTAGAATGGGTTACCCTGAATAACAAAGAGAGAGAACATTGCATCAGTAAGAATGGACCATGACACCTTTCAATTTCTAATTCTTGCTCAATTCTGCCACTCTAAGTAAGATGAAGCAGTTGAAGAACTAGCAAATATTTTCCCTCCCCCTGCATGGGGTAATTAAATGGGAGTAAATGAGCCAATAGGAAGTCAGCTCCTAGCCTAAAGCTGGCCTGGCTAAGAGGGGCAGGTGGGGAGGGAGTGGGGAGCCCCAGGAGAAGTCAAAGCCATGACCCACAGACCAGAGCTTCTGCGGTCTAGGTAACATCCATCCCATGCAGACAACTCCCCCAGACTCTGCCCCACTCTTTCTGCTCACCCCAAAGCCTCAGCAGAGCAGAGATAGGGTTTGGGACAAGTCAAATCATGAGCTCTACTAGCTGCTACATCTATCCCTAGAAGGATGCCTGGACCATTAGGAATACAGCTCTGGGCTTAAGAGGTCAGAGAATGAAATTTGCATAAATTCATGCCACTTTCTCCTTTCTTCACCGTGTCTATTTTGTAGCTTATTTACTTTCCGAAGTGCTTGAAGCTGAGTCTGAAACTTCAAAGCACCATGAGGGTGAGTTATAGAGGAAAGGAAACATTCTAGTTCCTAGAAGCTGTTTTGCAACATGGAGCAATGCTTTGTGTTTCCAGGCAACTGGACTATCTGTAGCTGAATCCCAGTGAGGAGATGGACGGGTGAGGAGGGACTGGGAAGAGCTGGATATGTGATCACCAGCCAAGCTGGCTGGGGTTTGGAGCAGGGCTCAGCCTAAGCCAGAAAGCCAGAAACTAAAGTGTTAGGCAAGGAAGCTAAGGCAGAAGCCGAACTGTATGGATTTTGACAACACAAGAAAATTAAGGAAGAGATGGTTGAGATATCCCAGAAAGCATGAAGCTCAGAGCCAGAGAAGTAAGCTGGAATCTGGGCTGTCATTTCCCATTAGCAAAACCTTTGCCAAGCTACTTAACTTCTCTGAGATGTAGGTTCCTCAGGTATAAAACAGGAATTGTACAGGGATGTTGTGAGAATGAAGCTTTATAAAGTATAGAGGCCCCAAATATATAGGTTTTTCTTCTATCCTTGAAAGCAAAGAAAGGATCTTAGCAGCACAGCAAGGACTACAAAGAGAGAGAGTGTTTGATAACTGATTGCTAACAAATGGGGGAAAACATTGCATTCCAGGTCCTATCTCCAGGTGAGGCTGAGGTCACTAGTCTACATGTTCTCATTTTACTGCTCAAAGTGAAGCTCATGAACCACTGACATGACTTGGGAACTTCTTAGGAATGTAGGCTCTCTGACCCCACTCCAGACCCAAATATCAGATATCCACTTTGGTCTGATTCCCAGATGATTTGTCTGCACATTAAACTTGAAGAAGCACTGCTCAGTCAAGATTGACTGGAGGAATACAGAAGTCTGAGTCTCCTGGTGGGTGGCTTCTCATGGCTCCAGCTAGGAGGGATGGAGGGGGGTGCTGGCAGGAGCCATCAGTGAGTATCCAAACAGATTCCTTAAATTGTGACCACTGTCTCTCAGGGTTTGAGCAGAGGGCCAGGCTGCTCTGCTTCAGAGGAGCGGGGACCCCAATCTGACTGGGCAGGAATAGTGCAGAGATTCCATGGATGTGTGAGCAAAGGTTGAGCCTCAGCCTGGACTTGAAGGCAAGAGGTCAAGGAGGCAAGAAGCCAAGTCCAGGGGACTCAGGTAAGTGAGAAGCTAAAATGGGTTATGCTGGTCTATAGAGTCAAAGTCTAAAGAACAAGAGTCTGGAAGAAAAAGAAAGCAGACAATTCAACCAGTACTTACAGTGCCACTTATGGGTAAGACAGGGAGTGAGTTCTCATTTTAGGAGAGGTTGGTCCTCATTCTCGGGCTCACGCTCTTTCACTGTAGGTGGATGTATCCTTGTGTGGGTATAGCCTGAGGGGGACCCAGCATTACAACACACTGGCTCCTTAGGAAAGCAGATAAGAGGCTTGCTGGAAGGTTCCTCTGACCTGCCAACATAAAGAGACGTCAGTCAAGATGGGAAAGTAGAAATTTCAGGGACTGTTTTGGAAAGTTCTGTGAAAAAGTCAACAGGAAGTCCCAGAACCTTTTGCCCACACCACAATCCTGTGTGTTTTCAGTAAGGAATGGGCCACTCCTCAGGAGACAATACGCTCACACCCCTAGTAACCTGGATAGCCTTCTCTCAAGGGGGGCAGCACAGAATCCTATTATCCGAAGATGTCAGACCTAGAGGGGACTTGGTAGTTTTCAATCACTTTTTAATCCGTGGAACCCTATTTTCTAACACTATTGGATCTCCAACATTTGAAATGGATATGAATGAAGCTGCTCTTACTGAAACAAAAGCTGGAGCCCAGAGCCATTCCCTTCCACCCCAAGGCCCTCTGAGGCTCCTGGGTGGAACCCCCTTGGTTCCACAGGACAGTTTGAGAAGCACTGCTCTGCACCAGTCCTATTGTTACACAAATGAGGAGTAGGAGGCCCAGGCTGACAAGATCTTCCTTGACCTGCCACTAGCTCATCTCACTATCCATGTGACTCCCTATGGTTTAGCCATTGTGGACTTTTCTTCAGTCCTCAGAAAATGCCATGCTCTCTCTTCTGGGCCTTTCTATATACTCTTCTCTCTGCTTGAAACACTCTCTGCTCCTCTTCATGTCTCCTTGGCTTCCCACTCCATTCCTGCCTGCCTGACTCCTCAGTAACCTGCAGATCCCAGCAAAGGCCTGTTTGCTCTGCTCACTGTGCCCAGCACTGTGCCTGATCAGTAGTCAATACCGCATGTCTCTTTGTTCAAGAAGTGAATAAGCACATGTGCAGGAGCCTTGCCCCACCGCTGCTTCTCCGGCTCGAAGGTGCAGGAATGCTGATAGCCCCTCCATCCAAATATGGGGTGGTTGTGAGCATATCCTCATCCAGTCCACGTTGATTCCTTCTCAGGGTGTTCTGATTGGTGTACAAAAATGTGAGGCTGAAAATCCAAGTAATGGGGAAAATGTGAAGGAAGTGCAAAGTGAGACACACTTAGAAAATGTTGGTAGGTCCATGTGATAGCAGCCTTCAAAGTGGCTATACAGAGTTATTGGCAGATATCTGTTTCTTATGATAACAGTTTCAGATATCATCCTGACCTGCCACCCTAAAGGTTTAGGAAAAAAAAAAAATAGGTCTTAAATCAGACTACCTTCTAACCCCAGGAACTATATTTGATATTACTAGTAGATAATCTTCCAAAAGTTCCATAAGAAATTATTCACGACTTCACTGATGACAAAACACAGCCATAAAACATGCTACCTGGTATATCTCAGGCATTTCTGTGGTGGATGCATGAATCTCTCCTGGAACACCTGTCTGATGATTAAAAAAAAAAAAAAAAGCCAAATAAATATGAGGTAATGATGCACTAAAATTTTTCTGAATGTGCAAGCAGCTACAAATGCTAAGTCAACATATTCCAAAATTGGCTCTCCCTATTAGTATGTGGGCAGTAAATTGTTAAGAAACACTAATTATCTCTTTATTTATTTATTTTTAAAAGATTTTATTTATTTATTTGACACAGAGAGAGAGAGAGCATAAGCAAGGGGAATGGCAGGCAGAGGGAGAGGGAGAAGCAGGCTCCCTGCTGAGCAGAGAGCCCGATGCAGGACTCGATCCCAGGACCCTGAAATCATGACCTGAGCCGAAGGCAGATGCTTAACTGACTGAGTCACTCAGGTGCCCCTAATTATCTCTTTAGATAGTATTACCCCAAACATTATTTTTACAAGCTTCATAGAATTAGTCAACAGGTTAAATCAAGTCTCTGCTTAAGCATCATTTTATTTAAAATGATACTTCCTGGTAAACAGGTTTTAATTAAAAAGGAAAATTACATTTGCATCCCTCGAAGATAAAGGAAACACTACAGACTATTTCACTATCTACACTCTCTGTCTCTACTTATCTTTGGCACCAGTTACAAAGGAAAACTACCTGGAAGGATAATTTCTCCCATAACAATCCCTTCCAATTAGACAGGATTTAGCAACTTATAAAGTATATTCACATACATGATTTCATTTGCTCCTGTCAACAGCCCTGTATGGCAGATATAACAAGAATTGGCATTAACTTCAGGTTAGAAATGAGGATGCCCTGGAAGCCATGGGAGCTTTGAGACTTGCTCATGGTCACCCTGCTAGTAGCAGTTCAGCCAGGCTTTGAATCCAAGGTTTGTGATCACAGGTCTATCTCAGAGCTATCATCAGCAGGTAAACTGTGGTTAAGTCTGCCTGATGTCTTAGATCATATTGTAGAGGGCCCTTGAAGGTCTTCTTGTTGCTGCGGTTCTCAAACTACACTTCTTAGAACCCCAAAGGTCCATAGTGATGCTTAGGAAGCCACCATAGGGAAATTGAGAAGACAGGATCCTGGGATAATATCCCAGTCAAGGAGCTCTGTTGTGTGCCTGGGTGGCTCAGTTAGTTAAGCGTCTCCCTTTGGCTCAGGTCATGATCCGGGAGTCCCGTGATCGTGCCCCACGTAGGGCTCCCTGTTCAGCGGAGACTACTTCTCCCTCCCCTTCTGCCCCTTCCCCTGCTCCTTCTCTCCCCTGCTCTCTCTCTCTCAAATAAATAACATTAAAAAAAAAAAAAAAAGGAGCTCTGTTTTCATGTCTCATATACTAATGTTTCAAATAAAATTTCTTTGGAAGAAAGTATTCCTCTGTTTACAATTTTTTTTTGAAACTCCAGTATACTAGTCCAAACTTCTCATTTTATATATTGGAAAAGACCCATAAAGATCACATAATTTGTCCATTTTCACACCCAACTAAGATCAGACACCAGATGGTTCTCTCCACACTCAGTCCACAACCCTGTGGGACAAGAGTTAAGTCTCTCAGGACAGTGTTTTACCTCCAGCTGAAGCTCCCCAAGCTGAGTGTGTATTAGGATCACCTATGGGGCTTGTCACAGATTTCTGGGTCCTGTGTCCAGAGTTTCTGATTTAATAGAGTTGGGGTGGGCCCTGGGAATTTGCATTCCTAACAGATTTCCAGGTGACACTAATGCTGCTGAATCACCTATCTATAGGATACAAAACAACTGAAAAGTCTACTGAACTGACCAGCTAATTGTGCATTTCCTCAATTTTATTTCACTCTGGAAAAGTGGTAAGGGAAATTTCTCCTCCAGAATTTATAAACCCGTGGCTTTAACCATGCTGCTACACATTCATTAACACCTAATGTTGCTATTCTATCACTTCAAGATCCCAAAGCCTCCGTGTAGCAGATGATGCTGATGTCCCAGCTCATAGTCCCCCATCTCTGGGATGGGCAGTTTCCATGCACACAGCCAGCTTTCTATCTCAATGGGTGGCATCTCTTTGGTATATCTGTCTGAGGACTTTCTTTAGCCAGCAGGAGCTTGCTCAGTCCACATGTGTGTGTGTGCGTGTGTGTGTGTGTAATTAATGCCCCCACTTTCCAGGGCATCCTTCAGACAGTGAGGATATGAATCTGCAGATAAATACTCCAGCTTAACCTATCTGTCGGTGGGATAATTTTGAAGCTTATTCAAATGACTCCTCAGAGGGTCCCTAGTGAGATTGTGCCCCAGCTTTACACAGCAGTAACTCATTCATTCATCACCCTTTACTGGCATTTCTCCCTTTCCCATCCACTTCCCCCACTTCCTCATTTGTGCTTCCTGAGATCACGTCCTAAATAAACTACCTGTGTCCCACATTCTTATCTCAGGATCTGTTTTTGGGGAAACACAAACCAAAACAATCTATCTCATAGTTGTTCACCAAATTCACAGAAGCATCACCTCCTAGCTGACCCACACCTGTTCTTGCTCACCTTTCAGATCTAGGCCCTGGGGTTTTGTCCACAGGTCTTCCAATAACACCACTAACACCAAGTTAGGGTGTACTGGATGGATGTTAATAAGCAAATGATACACCAATTGTTGTTGCCTTAACAGTAGCAGAAATACAGACTGTCGAATGTGTGGATACTTATATTCATTAACCATACTTAACTAGTCACTCTTCAGAAAGAGGCCCAAGTTCATCAGTCAGATCTGTGAAGGATGCCAGCTTAAAAAAAAAAAAAGTGACATTATGCACATTTTGCAAGGCATCATTATAAATATAAATATTTTAAAAACAGTTCATTCTGAAACAGAAATAAATTTCCTTTTGAAGGTTAATCTGTTAAAGTAAGATTAACCTTCAGCAAATATTTACATTTGAGGAGTGGAGTTTCAGCAGTGAGGGCACTGACATTTGTCAAACTGTAGCGCATGCAAACCTCAATGGAAAGAAAAAGGACTATGTGAGAAACAATTAAATTGTTCTTAAATTGAAGCCAAAAAAATAGATTCTTGGTTAAAAAAAAATGAAATGAATCAAACTTCATCCTAAATAATAGAGCTATTACATGCATTTCATTCCACTCATTGTTGATGGCTTAATTTTTTTTATTTAAAAAAGTCCTATTGTGGGATAATTGACATATAATGAACTGAACATATTTAAAGTGTACAACTTAGGGGGCGCCTGGGTGGCTCAGGTGATTAAGCGACTGCCTTTGGCTCAGGTCATGATCCTGGAGTCCCGGGATCAAGTCCCGCATCGGGCTCCCTGCTCAGCGGGGAGTCTGCTCCTCCCTCTCCCGCTCCCCTCTCTTGTGCTCTCTCTCTCTCAAATAAATAAATAAAATCTTTTAAAAAAAAAAAAGTGTACAACTTAGGGACGCCTGGATGGCTCAGTTAAGCATCTGTCTTCAGCTCAGGCCATGATCTCAGGGTCCTGGGATCGAGCCCCAGTTGGGCTCCCTGCTCGGTGGGGAGACTGCTTCTCCCTCTCCCTCTGCCCCTCTCCCTGCTTGTGTGCTCTTTCTCTCAAATAAATAAAATCTTAAAAAAAATAATAAAGTGTACAACTTAATAAATTTTGACATATGTATGCACCCATGAAACCATCATGCTGACTTATTTTTGAAAGCAATATTATTGGGGGGGGCGGAGCAAGATGGCAGAGGAGTAGGAGACCTGGATTTCCTCTCCTCTCAGGAATTCAGCTGGATAGGGATCAAACCATTCTGAACACCTACAAACTCAATAGGAGATCAAAGAAAAGAAGAGCAACAACTCTCTCATCAGAAAAGCGACCACTTTCTGGAAGGTAGGACGTGCGGAGAAGTGAATCCCAGGCAATATTCGGGAGGATAGACGGCGGGGGAGGGGCCTCCGTCGGCCGCTTCTGGCAAGTGATAGAGCCACGGAGCACAAAATCGGAACTTTTAAAAGTCTGCTCCGCTGAGGGACGTCACTCTGGTGGCTAAGCAGGGGGTGGAACCCTCCGGGACAGTGTGGTCTCAGGACCGTTGGGGTCACAGAAAGAACAGGGGTGCCTGAGTGTGGCAGAGCTCCCAGGTAACAGAGCAGGGAAGCCGGCTGCAGAGGCAGAGCCCAGGCGCGGGCTCTCAGCTTGGGGTTGCCATAAACCGTGATCCGCGGCACAGTCGGGCCACTGCTCCCCCAGCAGGGACCCAACAAGCGGCAGATCTGGGGAGACTCACCTTCCTCCCCGGGGAGGAGCCACGCAGGAGTGCACTACAGGGATCTGCTGGGTTTGGAGACTCCACCCGGGGTCGGGTGCCAGAGATAGAAACACGCGGTCACAGACCGGGTGAGCACGGAGTGCGGCCGGAGACCGGGGAGACGGGAGTGACTGACAGCTTTTCTCTGGGGGCTCACTGAGGAGTGGGGCCCCGAGTTCCCGGCTCCTCCAGGGCGGAGATTGGGAGGCCGCCATTTTCACTCTCCGCCTCCAAAGCTGTAGGGAAAGCTCGCAGGGAACAAAAGCCCAGAGAGCAAACCCGAGCAGATTACTTAGCCGGGAGGGGGTAAGGGCGGGGCAATTCCGCCTCCGGCAGAGACATTTGGAAACCACGGCAACAGGCCCCTCCCCAGAAGATCAGCGAGAACAGCCAGCAGGACCAAGTTTACCGATCAATGAGAACGGCAGAACTCCAGTGCTAGGGGACTACTGCACATAGAATTCACGGCTTTTTTACCATGATTCTTTAGTCTCTCAAAGTTAATTTTTTTTAACTGTCTTTTTTTTTTTTTGAATTTTTCTTTTTCCCTTTTTCAACCAACATCTTATCAATCCCTTTTTTTAAAAAAACATTTTTATTTTTCATTTTTAGAGTCATATTCTATCCCTTCATAGTAGTTACCCGTATTTTTGGCATATATATATAAGTTGTTCTCTCTTTAAAATTTTGAGATAGTTTCTTCTAACAGATTAAAATATACCCTAAATCTTGGGCGCCTGGGTGGCTCAGTTAGTTAAGCGACTGCCTTCGGCTCAGGTCATGATCCTGGAGTCCCGGGATCGAGTCCCGCATCAGGCTCCCTACTCGGCAGGGAGTCTGCTTCTCCCTCTGACCCTCCCCCATCTCGTGCTCTCTCTCTCTCTGTCTCATTCTCTCTCTCAAATAAATAAATAAAATCTTTAAAATATATATATATATATATATACCCTAAATCTCTAGTATATGGTGTTTTCTATTCCCCTGCCTGATCACATTCTCTCCCTTTTTTTTCCTTTTTTCTTTTTTTAAATCCTCTTCTTTCTTTTTTCAAACAACTTATCAATTCCTTTTATAAAATTTTTTATAATTTCCATCTTTACAGTCATATTCCATCCCTTCATCATATCAACCCTTATTTTTGTACATATATAAGTTTTTCTTTCTTTAAAATTTTGGGAGGCACTTTCTTCTAAAAGACCAAAATACACCCCAAATCTAGTGTGTGGCACTGATCTATATACCAGCCTGATCATATTTGATCACATTCTGGTTTTTTTGTTGTTGTTGTTGTTTTGTTTTGTTTGTGTTTGTTTGTTTTTATCTTTATCTTTTTCTTTTTTTTTTCTTTTTCTTTTTTCTCTCTTTCCATTTCTTTTTCCACTGCTTCAGGTCTTTTCTGATTTGTTTAGAGTATATTTTCTGAGGACATTGTTACTCTGCTAGCATTTTGTTCTCTCATTAATCTATTCTCCTCTGCACAAAATGACAAGACAGAAAAAATCACCTCAACAAAAAGAACAAGAGGTAGTACCGACTGCCAGGGACCTACTCAATATGGACATTAGTACGATGTCAGATCTAGAGTTCAGAATCATCACTTTAAAGATACTAGCTGGGCTTGAAAAAAATATGGAAGTTATTAGAGAAACCCTTTCTGGAGAAGTAAAAGAACTAAAATCCAACCAAGTAGAAATCAAAAAGGCTATTAATGAGGTGCAATCAAAAATGGGGGCGCTAACTGCTAGAATAAATGAGGCAGAAGAGAGAATCAGTAATATAGAAGACCAAATGATGGAAAATAAAGAAGCTGAGAAAAAGAGAGATAAACAACTACTGGATCACGAGGGCAGAATTCGAGAGAGAAGCGATACCATAAGACGAAACAACATTAGAATAATTGGGATCCCAGGAGAAGAAGAAAGAGAGAGAGGGCCAGAAGGTATAATGGAGCAAATTATAGCAGAGAACTTCCCTAATTTGGGGAAGGAAACAGGCATGAAAATCCAGGAAGCACAGAGAACCCCTCTCAAAATCAATAAAAATAGGTCAACACCCCGACATCTAATAGTAAAACTTAATAGTCTCATAGACAAAGAGAAAATCCTGAAAGCAGCTCGGGAGAAGAGATATGTAACCTACAAGGGTAGAAACATTAGATTGGCAACAGACCTATCCACAGAGACCTGGCAGGCCAGAAAGGACTGGCAGGATATATTCAGAGCACTAAATGAGAAAAATATGCAGCCAAGAATACTATATCCAGCTAGGCTGTCATTGAAAATAAAAGGAGAGATAAAAAGCTTCCAGGACAAACAAAAACTAAAGGAATTTGCAAACACAAAACCAGCCCTACAGGAAATCTTGATAGGGGTCCTCTAAGCAAAAAGAGACCCTAAAAGCAACATAGACCAGAAAGGAACAGAGACAATATACAGTAACAGTCACCTTACAGGCAATACAATGGCACTAAATTCCTATCTTTCAATAGTTACCCTGAATGTAAATGGGCTCAATGCCCCAATCAAAAGACACAGGCTATCAGACTGGATTAAAAAACAAGACCCATCGATATGCTGTCTGAAAGAGACTCATTTTAGACCCAAAGACACCTCCAGATTGAAAGTGAGGGGGTGGAAAACCATTTACCATGCTAATGGACACCAAAAGAAAGCTGGGGTGGCAATCCTTATATCAGACAAATTAGATTTTAAACGAAAGACTGTAATAAGAGATGAGGAAGGACACTATATCCTACTTAAAGGGTCTATCCAACAAGAAGATCTAACAATTGTAAATATCTATGCCCCTAACATGGGAGCAGCCAATTATATAAGGCAATTAATAACAAAAGCAAAGAAACACATCGACAACAATACAATAATAGTGGGGGACTTTAACACCCCCCTCACTGAAATGGACAGATCGTCTAAGCAAAAGATCAACAAGGAAATAAAGACTTTAAATGACACACTGGACCAAATGGACTTCACAGACATATTCAGAACATTCCACCCCAAAGCGACGGAATACACATTCTTCTCTAGTGCCCATGGAACATTCTCCAGAATAGATCACATCCTAGGTCATAAATCAGGTCTCAACCAGTACCAAAAGATTGGAATCATTCCCTGCCTATTTTCAGACCACAATGCTTTGAAACTAGAACTCAATCACAAGAGGAAAGTCGGAAAGAACTCAAATACATGGAGGCTAAAGAGCATCCTACTGAAGAATGAATGGGTCAACCAGGAAATTAAAGAAGAATTAAAAAAATACATGGAAACCAATGAAAATGAAAACACAACTGTTCAAAATCTTTGGGATGCAGCAAAGGCAGTCCTAAGAGGAAAGTATATAGCAATGCAAGCCTTTCTCAAGAAACAAGAAAGGTCTCAAGTACACAACCTAACCCTACACCTAAAGGAGCTGGAGAAAGAACAGCAAATAAAGCCTAAACCCAGCAGGAGAAGAGAAATCATAAAGATCAGAGCAG